AATGGCGGCTACAACTACGGAGCCTGTTCGCAAAATGGAGGCCACAACAACGCACTGTCATTTCTCAGTTGCCATTCCTGAGTCAAGTCACGGCACATTTGATCGTCATGAATCAAGTCAAGTCACAGCTGATCTTCATGAGTCAAGTCACGTCACACTTGATCTTCATGAGTCAAATCACGTCACAGTTGATCGTCATGAGTCAAGTCGTCACAGTTGATCTTCATGAGTCAAATCACTTCTCAGCTGATCTCCCAGAGTCTCGTCACGTCTCAGCTGATCTCCCAGAGTCTCGTCACGTCTCAGCTGATCTCCCAGAGTCTCGTCACGTCTCAGCTGATCTCCCAGAGTCTTGTCACATCTCAGCTGATCTCCCAGAGTCTCGTCACGTCTCAGCCGATCTCCCAGAATCTCGTTACGTCTCAGCTGATCTCCCAGAGTCTCGTCATGTCTCAGCTGATCTCCCAGAATCTCGTCACGTCTCAGCTGATCTTCCAGCGTCGTCATGTCTCAGCTGATCTTCCAGAGTCATGTCACATCTCAGCTGATCTCACAGAGTCTCGCCACATCTCAGCTGATCTCCCAGAGCCTCGTCACATCTCTGCTGATTTTCCAGAGACTCGTCACGTCTCAGCTGATCTTCCAGAGTCACATCACATCTCAGCTGATCTCCCAGAGCCTTGTCACATCTCCGCTGATCTTCCAGAGCCTCGTCCCGTCTCGTCTGTTCGTTCAGAGTCCTGTCACTTCTTGTCTGTTGCACCCAGATCCTCAAGGACTGTTCTTCAGTATCCCAGACTGGCATCCAGCGTGGAGGACCCACCGCTGGTATCAGCACGTGTAGCTGGTATCCCTAAGCTAGTACTCTCAAACCCTTCTGTCCCAGAAGTAATCCCCTCGTCTGCTACATTTCCTGTATGGGGAATTGCTTTCTGGTGTGTATGGGCTGCGTTCACTACCACCGACATTCCATAGCCAGCGACGTCCGCGGAAGGATTGCCAGAGGTGGCGGCTGATGCTGCAGAACCTCCAGAGGCGGCGGTGCTCGTTCTGGATTCTACGGAGGTGGCGCCGTATGCTGCAGAACCTCCTGAGGCGAAGTCTTTCACTTCAGCTCTGGTTACGGTAGTGCCGCCCATTACTGAACTCCCTGTCTGTCCTGTTATGGCTATGAAGGCCGTCTGTGAACTCTCTGCCTGTCCTGTCATGGCTATGAAGGCCGTCTGTGAACTCTCTGCCTGTCCTGTAACGGCTAGGAAGGCCATCTGTGAACTCCCTGTCTGTCATGTCACGGCTATGAAGGCCGTCTGTGAACTCTCTTCCTGTCCTGTCATGGCTATGAAGGACGTCTGTGAACTCCCTGTCTGTCCTGTCACGGCTATGAAGGCT